GTTATTTTAAGGACCTTTTCAAAGCCTACAAAGCATCTAAGACTTCATGACTAATTTCAACTTTGCAATGCATTTTGTCAATCGGAAGTATCACAAATCCTATTTCCAACTGAACTATTCCAAAAGCCAGGGAAAATATTGACCAGTAGGGGAAACAGGGGGAGGGGAAAGAGTTTGCAGTTCTGAAAAAATGAAAGAATCACCCAAACTTCTACATTAACATTATTGTTCATTATTATTTAGACTGATGCATTAAAAAGGGATATACACAGTGTGAAATGTTTTAGAAAGTCCCCCTACCACTCTCATTGTGCTTTCCCTGAGTTCCAGTAATGCTGCCAAAAGACAGAATGACTCAGACTTTTGACTCACCTCCTCTCATCAGTGTTATCCTCAGAATCACTCACTGCTAGATGAGATCAGGAGAATCAGGAAGTACATTTCTTTTGCTCTGTTGTGATCAAAATAGCTGAAGCCCATCTTAAAAGGTGTCCATTATGGAGCATCAGACTAGAAATCACTCTCTGCTCTATTTTGAAAACCAGGACTTATAGATTTATGGCATGCAGAAAGAAGCTGAGTTTACCTTGCCTTGTTTATTGGTTAAGGAAACCCACAATAGTGTCTATAGTAAGTCACGATGACTGCAAATGAACAAATGTGCTATGGCACCATTGCCCAAAAAATTCAACTTAAAACTTCAATCATGACAGCTACAGTTGACAGCTTCTCAAATACACATCATGTCCTTTGTATCAGGAAATCACAATGGTATGTCATAATTTACCCATCACCCCTGCATGTGGAACTATTTAGAAATAGGATTGCTAAATTGGCTCGTATTAAGATTCTTTTTAAAAATATGTTTTTATTATATAACTGCATGAATACAAAACCAGGGTTCACCACAACATACAAAATAGGATAATGTTTTTGTGACTTACTTTATCATAAGAACCTGACTAATATGATTAGTATGCCAAAATTTATGGATTAGTGTGTTGGGGGAATCCTATATGAGTAACTTATTTAGTTAAACTATAAAAAAAAGCAGAGCACAGCTTAGCTGTTTTATGAACAAAGCAGTTAAAGGATACAAAAATTTTGTCCAGTTTATCCTAATTTTAGCAGTGTCTCTATAGGTGGCCACTACCAACTATGAGGTTGCAAGTGTGTATGTGTATGAAACCTAAATCGAAATGTTCAGGTCTGAAATGGAAAAAAAATCAATTATTTCACTATATTAATATTAATCACATTTCCTAACTTACTATAGGATTTGTGTTAAAATGGTTGCTCATTTTAAAATGTTTGGTGGTCATCCTACTAGGAAACTTCATAGAAGTTCACAAAACTATTGCTCAAGCTGCAACCTGGGAGAATGTCAAGTTGACCTCACTCAAGTAGATGCCAACATGTTGCTCCTAATAAATAATTGGTTTTGGCTCAAGACTCATGAGTTAATTAGGGCATCTGTTGGAACCTTGATAGCATATATATAGACATGTAAATGATAGGATCCCTTTGATTCTCAGATTTAGCAGAGGACTAAGCAAGATGGAGTATGTGGCACAAATGTTCCACTGCCAAGGGTCATAATTCACTAAGATCAAATTTTTCACATCAAGATAGATGTAGATGGATGGATGTAGTTTCTTAACCACAAGATGGATGTAGATGGTTTTTAATCACTATTATTCTAATACCATTCATGGTGGAGAAATGTCTTTTGGATTCAAAATAGTTAATAGTTGGTTATGATCAGATGCTTGGTTTTCTGCTTTAAGAAACCAATTTGTCTTTCCTTGGCTCAAAGCCAGTAGTCAGCTGTTTTACATTGTTCTCATTGGTTGAAAGGGTGATTCATCTTATATACATCAGCATGATCCCATGGTTTTGTTTCTTATCAGTTTTTGTTTGTTAAGGAGAATTCATTATAATGGTCAGAAAAATAGTTATCCATACATAAATTCTTGTTCTATTGATGTCTTCAATTATTGTAATGGACCTGGCTTGGTCAAAGAAAATTGGTGACCCAGAGATGGTGTAGTCTGGATGTTAGCCAAAATGTCCTCACCCTCCTCTTTTCTAACCCTCAAGACTTGCCATTCTTAATATTAATGCCATAAAAGAGGGTTAATCTTTTAAAAATTCAGCCATGGTATCATCAGGAAGATGGTATATAATAAAACTAAAATAGTTGTACCAGAGAAACAGAATGTTGTGTTTCCCCGGTATAATAATTTTAGTTTTATTAATAAGTAACATTAATAACTGCCCATTATATGATAAGTATATATTATAAGTTGCCCATATTTTAATAGCTACCCATATTAATTATATTAATAGCTACCCATTAATATATACTGTTTTCCACCAGAATTCATAAAAGTTCTTGAAACTATTTTCACTGGGGTTTTTTCAACAATGTTTAGAGAAGCATTAAGTTGATTTTCTTTTCTATCACTTCTAAATCCTGCAGTCTGTTTTGTCTTACTTTTCCTTATATAGCAGTTAGACTTATATACCGCTTCATAGGGCTTTCAGCCCTCTCTAAGTGGTTTACAGAGTCAGCATATTGCCCCCAACAACAATCCGCGTCCTCATTTTACCCACCTCGGAAGGATGGAAGGCTGAGTCAACCCTGAGCCGGTGAGATTTGAACAGCCGAACTGCAGAACTGCAGTCAGCTGAAGTAGCCTGCAGTGCTGCATTTAACCACTGCGCCACCTCGGCTCTCTATATCTTTTGTAAAGTCCAGTTATCCATTCCCTTCCTCTCCATATCCCAAAGCCCTTTAGATGCATACAAAGGAATACAATGCCTTTGATTTGTTCTTGCCAACAACTATAATATATACCTGCGTGTGCATCCTTTTCATCATGGCTGCATTCCAAAGTAACACCACCACCGCCTGTGAAATTACTCAGGCGGAATCCTTCCTTTATGCTTACTAGCTATTGCCTTGAATGAACCAAAATTCAAAAGTTACTATTGAGATATGAATATAAAATCTAAGAAAAAAAAAGACAAAAGTCACATACATTCTTCGTGAACTAATTCCATTATAATTTTATTTTGTTTATTTACAACACTCGAAATCCTGGCTGGCTAACCATCAAAAGTTAAGACAGCCTAATAACCGTATTAAAATGACATACATTAAAAACAAAAACCTGGCACCAAGTCAAACTTCTAATGTCCAGTCAGCTCATCTTATTTGGTTGTCTGGGGGGAAATAATTTTCTCCCATTTTCTAAAAGAGAGATGCCTGGTGGGCTGTTGGGAGAATGTTTATGTAAGACAATATTATGAAGGAATGGGGTAAGAAAGAAGACACGTTTTGTCACTGGAAGCTCTCGTTTGCTTCTTCTTTTTTTGGAAAAACCCTTAGCAAGTTAGAAGTGCCATTTCCTCATTTCAGGGAAAGAGCTACTAGTAGAAACGATATTATAGCATAACTGTTTCAATTGAAAAACCGGCATTTCTTTTCCTCAGTTCCAGTTTCTTTGCTTTATATTATAAAGGAATATTACATATCAGGTAAACAGAGAAAATTAAATTCTAATACTTCATATAATGTGGATATAGGCTGTCTTGCACATATACTAAAAATTTAATACTTTCCCCCAAATTTTCTTCTTTCAGTTTTTTTTTCTTTTTTGGTGAAACACAAGCAATAATAAAACCATACACACATGATTTAATGGTATTTCAGTCAGTCATTACATTTGTAGACGTAAGATTTTTTTCCACAATTTATTGCTTCATTTATTTTACAAAAAGTGAATTAAATATATTAATAGTGATATATTTAGAATATAATCTCATAAGAGATTACTCTTCCTTCTAACACTCCTTTATATGTATTTAATAAATACTCCATATAAAATACATCTTTCTTTCTGAACATTATTGTCATTCTAGTTTTAACAGTTATCTAGTATGATAGTATTTCTAATAGGAGAGTATCAATGTAAAAAAAAAAAAGTTATGATACCGATAGAGATTATTTGTAGCTCATGGTTGACATAAGGGGTCCTTGGTGCTTTCTGAGCTTATTGTTTTCTTGCAGAGGTTCATTACCCAAACTAGGTAACATCATATCATCAGTGCTAGTAAGGAGTGGGCTTTGCTCTCAATTTATATTTTAGTGGTTTGCCATTATATTTTAGTGGTTTGCCATTGTTTATGAAGGTTCTCAATCATTCAGGTCAGGGTTATTGCAAAGGTTCTTTTTCAAGAGGCAACTGGGCTTTTCTTGATTTTCCTTGAACATGTTTCACTTCTCATCCAAGAAGCTGAAGAAGGAAAAACAAAGGAAGTCCAGTTGCCTCTTGAAAAAGAACCTTTGGGTTGTCCTGTCAGTGTTAGTGGGGGTGGCCTTGATGGCTCTTTGATTTGACCTGTTTACTGTTAGCTTTGTAATACCCCAATCAAGGAACTGCCAAAGAAGCTAACAGTAAACAGGTCAATCAAAAAACTACCCAGACTACTCCCAATAATACTGACAGGGCACTATAATATAAAATTAGAGCAAGCCCCATTCCCTACCAGCACTGGTTTGTCTGGCTGAGGATGCAATCACTCCCAGAGCAGCCAAATTAGCTGATCTTAGGGTGATGAAATAATAATATGACAAGACTGGAAGGTTTAGAAAGGTATTCTCAGGCCTGGAAGCCATCTTTTGCATTGGGCCTTCAAGCCAGTCACAAATAATGCTGTGGGAAATTGGGGGGGGGGGGGAATACACGGAGTATGGGAGATATATAGTCTAAATCACATTCCTTTCTCAGAGTGTCAAGGACACGTTGCCCTGCAGCTGCGATGGTGTGACTGGGAGTCATCTGCAGTTTCTATGGTGCCTAATTGGGCCATGTGATGGACATGTGGGTGCTGGGCAGGGACTTAGACTTTCATCTGGGTGGGGAAAACCTGGAAGCTTTCAGATTCGGGTTTTCCCAGATGTGCCAATATGACATCTCTAATAAAATGGAACTTTGAAGAAACTCAAGCCTCGGAGTCTCCTTTCATTAGGGGTGTTACTTGGGATCCTGACATTAACCCAAATCTTGGGAGGGGGGATGACAGGTATTAGATGTTTTCAGTTTTTGTAATGGAATGTGTGGATGACCTTAAGGGACAAGTGAAAGAGATGCTGCCTAAGAAACAATCAGACAGGAGAGAGTGGAGCCTCTGGTAAGAGAAAGAAATGTAGGAAGAATGCACCCTAATTGATTAGATGATTAAAAGTGGTAGCAGGAAATTTGTATTTTCAGACTTGCAAGATTCTGTTAACGTACCTTACAATAAAGTAAATTTAGCTCATCTAGTCATGTTTGGGTTACTCAGGATTTCCAATGGGGTCCAACTTTCCATGAAAGGTAGTAGAAATAATCCCTTACTTGACTTGAATAGTTAAATTAGATCAAACTAGATTAAATTAGATTTTACTCCATTTCTCACTTCAATTTCTTTTAAACTCCTTTTTTTTTCTATTTAGCTTCTTAGAAAGCTTGTTCATGACTTTTTCTTAACAGTAAGTCAGAAACCAGTTCATTCCAGGCAAAAGAATAGAATCTGTATGTAATTTCATTTCCCTATGCCTCTGTGGCCATCATGGTAATATTTAATATCGTCTCTCTGCACAAATGAGATATGGATGAGGTTGCAGTGTCATGCCAAATTTTGGTTTAAGGTTTGGAACCAAAGAACTAGGAAAATGTAGATGAAATCTTTGAAGTAATGCTGTAAAAAATAAAAACATTTCCATTCTGGCCAGCTGCTCTCCTAAACAGTGTCTTCGTCCTGAAAGGGAGGAATGGGAAGACAGAGAAAGTGTTTGTTTGTTTTTTATATCAAGAACTACATATGAAATAAAGCAAAACATAGAAGCCTGTTTTTTAAAAAAACCAATCAGATTGCTAATGAATCAATCTACGCCAAATACAGTATGTATTTACAGGTTGAATCTGTGTGTGTGTGTGTGTGTGTGTGTGTGTGTGTGTGTGTGTGTGTGTGTGT